ACTGGTGTTGTGAATGAGTGAGAGTAGGCCTGATCCATGACACTGTGTTCTGCACACAGAACGCATACTGGACGCCAGAAGAGCTGGGTTCTATTCTTCGTAGCTTTAAGCATGTCCCTTAACCTTATGCACTTTCCTTTCCAACTTGAAAATCTTAACCTAGAGGAAAGCATGCTGACATGGTCTAAGAATGAGAGAATGTGGACATTTGAGAAAGACCTGAAATAGTTAAAGGCATGGCCAGGCTTGGGAAAGGCTTACTGGGGCCACATGTTTTCCCAGAGTGTGACCTGCAGGCACACACCTGGGCTCGGTCAGGTTACAGCCCACTCCCTCCCACCCGCAGGTCAGGCCCTGGTCAATGACAGACCTAGGACCCTCCTTAATTAAGCATACCAATCTCCTAAAGCAACAAGAGGGTATTAGGGAATATTGGATGTCACTCAGTCTCTCTCTAGACTTCCTTTCCGTTTAATTATTTCAAAAGAAAAACACTAACTGTTAAAAAAAAAAAGTCAAAAATAACAAAAGCAAAGCCCCTTAAAGGAACAGATATCTGTAAAGTGTAAGTAATGGCTGCCTGGGCTTTTAACTGCCCTGTATTTGCTGCTGAAGTTGATGCCAAGTTGAATTTAGGCAGCTCTGGATTATCTATTCCCACTCGATGCCCTACTGATGCCTCATTTGGAAAATGTCAACGATCAGTCACCATCTGGTTTCATAAAAAAAAAAAAAAAAACATTTGGAAATTCTTATTTGATTCTTTCTTACTTAGAATCATTTTGTTGCTGCTGTCGTTGCTGTTGCTCCTTAAATGGAAAAGAAGCTGGTGGATGTTTAAAAACATTAATGCTGCTTTCCTGTTCAAGGAGAGATTTTCCTCAGAAGAGTCCCTAAATCATGATGGCTTTTGGGAATTTACCACATCAAAGAGAAGGGAGGGGGGCTTCATTTATCCAATGGGAATTGCAGGTATGTGGGATAGGCTCCCTCCAGCTAAAAATTTGATGAGTCAATTACAAGTTTATAATCTATCCCATGCAAAATACGTCACAAGGATTTAAATATAACAGAAGCTTTGCTATCCCTTTCAACAGAAAGTAGAAGTCAGATGATAAACTGCTGGAGTTTGATTTTTTAAATTTTTACTTAGTAATTATTCATTTACATGAAGTTCCTTTGTCCATCCTCTCTTGTTTCATCTCATCGATGGAAATTCCTTAAAAATATTACTGAATGATGTTTACAGTATCAGCCTCAGAATATTACTTAACACATTGCCCCATCTGAATTTTTTGACAAGCCCTTGATATCTGTATTGTTATTATTAATATTCCCATGAAGAAACATGCATCTAGAGAGGTTATGACTTGCTCAAGGCCACACAGTGAAACCCACTCTATTCTAAACTCTATAAGCCCATTTTCTTGCTAGTACGAGTCTTCGAAAGTGAAGTCTGAATTCAGTAACTCTTGTACCAATTCTTACAGTTCTTTGCTCTTTCCAATCGCCGCCTTCTAGGTTGTTTCCCGAGATACCTCCAGCCCTCTTGGCTAATAGCGTAACCTCTGATTTCTCACCATACTTCATCATTTTTGACAGTTCTGTTCCCCATTCTCTGTTCTTCCCCTCCTTCCAAGATGACAATTATCTAATCTGAAAACCTAAACGGTATGCATATTATTATGTGATAATAGCATAATTACCCAAGTCATAGTCTATATTTTTGCAGTTCAGCAGAGTTCTCCTAAATAAAAATGTTAGTCCAATGATTCAATCTGATGATAATGAGAATTAAAAACACAGGGGTAGACGTACAGAAACATATTCATAGTTTGATAACACACAAAACGAATAATTTAGGTAAGCAGCCACCTAACCTACACACATAGGATAGTCCAGCCCAAATATGAAGGCTGATATTTAGATAAAATTTGTTAATAAACATAAGTAATTATCAATATATGTATCTCCATAAAAGGAATAAAACGAAGTAATGAAATGGATGAAATTAGATTTTTCTTCCCTTGCAGGAGAAGATGTGATATTTAGGACAAATGTCCACCTTTAATGTAAGAAAAGCTTTCCGTTTGGGTCCCAGTTCAGTCATTTATAAATGCTGTGACCTTGAGTATGTTGTTTAATTCCTTTGGATCTCAGATGCATCATCCAAAAAGAAAACAAAAACAAAATTAAAAAAGAAATGATTATATCTTCCATATAGTAATGTTATAATATTAAAAATACTACCTGTAAAGCTCATAGATCAGTGCCTAGCACATAGTAGGCTTTCAAAAAATGGTGGCTTCTAGCCATAAAAAGGCAACTGTTTACAAGTTGCTATGTTTTATATCCTCTACAGAGAGAATAAACTTGAATTGAAAATTGAGTATAAAAAGATAGCAAATTCAGAAAATCAGAAGCCAAATATTTTTCAGAAGATGTGGATTTTCCCTAGGGTAAGATATTTCCCAGACAGGAAACGACAATGAGCTAACCATTCTTTAGGAGAAACGTAGGAGTTTTTGCCTCAAAAATTAATACTGTAGCTTCAAATTAAGCTCACTGCATGGAAAGCAAACTTGACTTTAAATCTCTCTTAGTCTTTACAATAAAAGTTACAGTTTCAGTGAACAGGTTCTTTCTATTAAACTCTAAACTTCACTGGCATAATTAAGACTCATTTAGAGTACAATTTACTTTGACATGGGGCAGGAGAGGCCGTAGTTAATTCCTTTTCCTTATTACCTCATAACCTTGGATGTGTTGAGAAGTGTTTCTGGGATGGAACAAGGAAGCCAGGTGTTCTTCACCCACTTTGTAAACATATCCGTTCTCAGGCTTAGGCTTCCCCCAAAGCAGGCAGCCACTGAGTAGCTGGCCTGCTCCATGTCTTGTCTTGAAAATGTACAGAACTGTTCAAGTGCAGCACTGAATGGGTGGTCAGAAGGCACAGAGCCCAACTTCCCACCAAGTGCAGATGCTCTCCCTGCATCCGCAGAAAAACTCTCTAGGAGGGAAATAGGAGCATTAAGATAACTGTATTTCTCTAAGCAAAGGGTGGCACTCTGTCTAAGCAGCTGCTGTTAGACTTGACTCATTTCTCTGGAGATACCAGGAATCACCTATTCCTAAAACAAAAAATAGATCCGATTCCTAAGAATAGTAGTAGGGTAGTTGGGAAATGACTTTCTAGAGGAGGATGGGAAGGAAATTTACATCTTTTTTTGACAAAGTGCACACTGAATGGTTCCTTGTTTAATTCATAAAAATATAAACAAATAATTTTATTATAAATCAAATTATTATAAAATATAATAGCTATCATCACTCTCTACAAAGTTCTTGTTAAGTATGAAAATCACACAAAATACATGAAATTATCAGTGCAGTTTTATAAACCAGGGATTTTGTCCTAAGGCTAGCCTCTATCAGTGGCACTGGCAAAAAGCAAATGTATTAATGTTTAGTTGAAAGATATTTGAAATACAAATATGTGGATTCAGGGCCAATGACAGTGTTTCTCTTTTCCCCTGTTACTCTACTCAAATGACATTTTAATTCCATCATTTGACATGTATTTGTTGAATAAATGAAATGTGCCAGGCACAGATCTAGATGCTCTGGATGCTCTCAATGCTGAGGATACAGCAGTGAAGAAAATAGAGACAAATCCCAGCTCACATGAAGTTTATGCTCTGCCAGTGAGAGAAAGGCCATCCACAGAGTATATGGGCAACTGTGTAGAATGTCAGACGGTGACCAGTACTAGTAAGTAAACAAAGCAAAGAAGGAAGATAAAAAGTGCTGCTCAGTGTGGAGTGGAGTAGGGTTACCCTTTTAAATAGGTTGAGCAGCAAAGTCCTCACTGAGAAAAGGAAATTTCATCAAGCGTGTACCCATCTCTAATATGGCCATGCAAAGAACATGAACATGAGACGTCTAGAAAGGAATATAGAAATGATGGAAAGGAGGGATCCTAAGAAGAGTCATATACTAAAGGAAATTGTTCCTTCAGTATGTTAAATAAAGGCAGGAGCAAGATTAGCCAAATTACCAATGCAATATATTTTTGCGGCAGCAAAGAGGATGAAACATAACATGGGCCATGGGAAGTGGGTGGATACAAGTAATGAAATGACCGTATGGAAAGTTTTCCATATATATATGGAAATATATATAATATATAATTATATGTGTTAACAATAAATATATATTATATATGTTTATAAATATATATATATTTTTCCCTACTCCTCATTCCAGACTCTGGAATGCAATACATTTTAGAGAAATGCCCACTTACTTGCCGGTTTGAGGGAATCATATTCCCCATTCTTTTTTTTTTTTTTTTGAGACAGAGTCTCACTGTGTTGCCCAGGCTAGAGTGCCGTGGCGTCATCCTAGCTCACAGCAACCTCAAACTCCTGGGCTCAAGCAATCCTCCTGCCTCAGCCTCCCGAGTAGCTGGGACTACAGGCATGCGCCACCATGCCCGGCTAATTTTTTCTATATATTTTTAGTTGTCCAATTAATTTCTTTCTATTTTTAGTAGAGATGGGGTCTCGCTCTTGCTCAGGCTGGTTTCGAACTCCTGAGCTCAAACAATCTGCCCACCTTGGCCTCCCAGAGAGCTTGGATTACACATATTCCCCATTCTTAACTAAAATATCAGGGACTCATATTTATGATACCTAAAAAGGAGCTCCAAATTGCAGTGGTAATTTGTAGATAGCATCCCACCTGCTACTTTCCTTTTATGTGTGTATGTATGCATGCATTTATGCATATAAGTCTACAGAAATACATTTCTGAAACTTGTTAAAAAAGAGGAAGTTCACTTATAACCAAATGTAAATTCTCCATTAGTACTTATAATACTAAGTAAAAGTCAGTCAGAATATAGAACTCTGTTAATGCTGTGGAAGTAAAAGAAAAAAGTAATGTAATCCAATTAAATATTTAATAATAGTGAAGAAAATCTATTTAGAAAATGAATACTCAGTTCTAGCAACTGATGTGATCGTGGGACCATGACAAACATTGGTTCACATTTGCACGTCTAAAGATGCTGGAATGAAAGAACTGAGTCAGATTCCTGCCTGGAAACTGTTGAACTAAAATGGAATTATCGGTGATGATCTTTTTCTACAGACAAATTTTTAATTTGGTTATTAGTAGGAATTAGAATTTGTAGGGGAACAAAGAAAGAACAGAGGAAAAATTCTCAAAGGGAAATCAGAGAAGGTAAAACAAGGGCATAGGAAGAGGGAAAATAAGCACGTACAATAGGGCCTAGATCTTGAGAAATTATCATTTAAAATAATAAATTTTGATTTATTTAAAATCCTAATGCTATTTTCTAGATTATTTAGATTACCTGGATTATTTGTTCACCAGGCGATGTGCATTTTTTCATCTTTAAGGAGTGTTTGTGTGAATGTTTGTGTGTTTGTGCCCTGTGCACAGTCTCTAATATTTTTGTTTGAACAAATATTAAAATGAAATGAGTTACTTTATGAGATTGACAGAGAAACAAACCCACTGTAGATATTCCAATGAAAGATGTACTTCATAGCCATTTTTCAATACTCATTGCAACTAAGTATACAGAATAACAAGGCACTTTAATCACAAGTTTTAAAGATAATTTTGAAATAATTTTATTTCTATATGAATATTCCACAGTGCGAGTTGCTTTAGAAAAGACGATCTTGTTTTTTTTTTATGTTACAAACATTGCCATATATATGCATACTAAATGATATTATGATTTTTTCCCTCAATAATTTCTCAAGAAGCGAAAACTACTTGAGGCATAAAACATTCCATAGAATTGACTGTGTTTCTCAGGTGTTTAAAATAATTTTGTTTTGTTTTTATTACTCCATGTTTTTGTATCACTTAAGAAGTTTACTGAAATTCATTGATTGATGCTTTGAAGCTGTTTAAATCTTGAACTTGTACTTACCCAGTTTTTGTAAAATGGTTGCAGCTATCTTCCGAGTAGAAGATTGTTATCTATGTATTTTTATTTTCATTTCCTACTGGCACATTACTATAGAATATGTAGCTGGAAGAATATTTGGAGTTACTTATGTATGCAGTCTATTTGGAAATGTGGTAAAGGGTTTTTACAGAATCTACTTACGCTAGAAGGTAGATTTCTTTACTATCTAATATATAAAATAATTAAAGTAGGAAACAAAAAATTCCAAACTGAATTTAGAAAACGTTTTTTTTTTTTTTACAACTTTTCCACTAAATTCATCATTGATATCAAGATATTGATATCCAAGATACATCTTTCCCCACACACATCATGGGGCATTAGTTTAAGTAATATTTGACTGTGAGATAGAAGTAAAAGAACCTGAAGTAACAGCACACAAAAAATCCTGAACCAGAATACCATTTTGTTCACTTGGAGGAGAAATATCACCTTGCCAAGTCTCGTTGAGTGTTTCATTGCTGCTTCTCTTCTCTCACGTGGCTTTGCCGCCTTTTCTGTTTAATCTCCTGCAGCGCTATGTTCTACCACGAAGAATCACACCCTAAAGCAGTATAACAATTGTATATCTTCTCTGACTCTTCTGCCCAAGAATTTGAGCTTTTTAACTACATTATTAACCTGAAGATAGATCATATGTCTTTTCTGAGTATAGTTTTCTATGTTCCGTGAGACAGTTCTAGAATTTTTTTCCAACTTTTCTGTTTCTACCATAGCACTATTGAGTGACTTTGAATTGGAATAAATAAATGTTTAAATATACTTTTAAAATAATTCACTCTCTCTCTTTTTCTTTCTCTATTTCTTCTGTCCCTTCCTCTCTCTCTCTTCCAGATTATTAGTTTATTAAATGTCTTTACACCCCAGAAAACGCTGGAGGAGTTCCAAGACGTGTAAGTAACAAAACTTATGAAGGAAGGAAGAGCACAGCCCTCAAATAGCTCAAGGGAAAATGACACACACACACACAAATAGATGAAATCCCTTGCAGAGAGCAAAGGTAGGTAAGAGCTGGGATCCAATGACAGAGACCCAATCATAAGTGGAGAAGATTCTGCTTGTGCTGTTACTTCTTATCAATAGAAAGACATGTCTGCCTCATTCTGGCCTATGGCTCTATGTACGTCATTGTTCCATGCTCTTGGCTCAGTCAGGGAAAGCTTATTTATTTATTATCATTAATTGATTCCAGGAGCTTTCTAGAATGAGTCAATTTGCCTTGAGAAATAGTAATAAAAGGGACATGATACAATTATCTTTATTCTTTATTTCTATTTTTGTGGTGCCTTTGATTCTGTGCAAGAAGAGTCTTCCTAGAAGCATAGTGGTGATAAGCAGAGGAGAGGAAGTGATTCCCTTCCACATTTTCTTCTTCTTTAACACAGATATGTTGAATTTAATGGGAGAAATGATTCGGAATTTTTTTCTTGCCTATAATTATAATACTCAGGAGAGTGTTGAGGGTATACAGGGAAAAGTGAGAGCAAGATGAAGGTAAAAAATATATGAGCATGAACCACATACTAATAAATGCTGCTTCTATTAGCAACCTGGTGGTAGAGTTACTATAGCTAACACACATGCAATACTTGGAAATTTTTCATATTCTTGCTTCAGTCAAAGGCAGAGCTGGGAAGTTCAGAAGACTTACAAAGTTAGGAGAGGATTATGACTAAATTGAAGGACTTCATAGATCTTGTGACCTGGAACTAACATTGTGGATTTACCTTCTAGTTACTTAGTAATGGAACTGATGGATGCCAACTTATGTCAGGTGATTCAGATGGAATTAGACCACGAGCGAATGTCTTACCTGCTATACCAAATGCTATGTGGCATTAAGCACCTCCACTCTGCTGGAATTATTCACAGGGTAAGAACACCTACTCTAGAATTATAATTAAGATGCTTTCAGAGAAGAGAAAGAGCAACTATAGAGTATTTCCTTTATGCTTGGGTCTTGGGCAAATATAATATACTTCCTTATTTCTTTGATAATAGGATTAGCATGTAGTTCACTAATATGTAGAAGGAAATTCTAACTATACTGTAGTTGATCTTGTTTAATGTTATGTTCAGCTTGTTGAGAGGCAGCTTCTGAGAAGCCTTGTGCTTTGTTCCTCCTTGATTGGCAGAGGCCATGCGTGGTGCTGGAATAAGACCATTCAATTCCATTTCCATAGACAGCTGCCCTAATCTGCTCTTCTGTCAGACCTAGAAATGAAATATAAATAAAAGATTTACATTTCTCTAAGGAGAAACCTAACAGATGACAATAAATGATATATGTTTTCTATTTTTATATATAGTTTAAATGTTTTTCTATTGTTTTCTTTTCCCAAAAGGAGCCTAAATTGTAAAAATGGTAATACAATTCTCTTCTGGCTTTAAAAAACTTACTGGGCATATTTAAAAAAACCCAAAAACTAATTGTTTCCTTCTTTGTGGCAGTAATCAGTTGCCTTATATAGGAATTTGCAGGCAAGGGGGACCCCATCAGTGCTATTGCAAGGCTGTTTTTTTGGTTTAGTTGATGGAAATCATATGTTCCATTTGGCACTGGCTTTTAATTTCTTCCCTGTTCCTACTGGCAGGATTTAAAACCAAGCAACATTGTAGTCAAGTCTGATTGCACATTGAAAATCCTGGACTTTGGATTGGCCAGGACAGCAGGCACAAGCTTCATGATGACTCCGTATGTGGTGACACGTTATTACAGAGCCCCTGAAGTCATCTTGGGAATGGGCTACAAGGAGAACGGTAGGGATGCTTCTGAGCAGCAGCATCAAGTACCATGTGTAAAATGGGTATACATTTCAGATAGCCAAGAGTCATGTTCTCTTTCATGTATATGATTTTTTAAAAAAATAGGGCTGCTAGCTTTCATATTCAGAGTTTTTTAAATACAACTGGTAAGAATCACTCATTAAAAATATGAAGAATGTTTCTGAGAAGAACATATGCAATATGTTATTTTGATGAGAATATTTCCTATAAGTAATGAGCCACATTAAAAAACATATCCAATATACTTAGGAATTCAAATGGTTTTAAATTAGGATTGTATATATGTACTGAAAGTATCTTTCATACTTATTTTTATATTCTATTCCATTTAGTTCCCAGCAGGCTATTTTTATAAATTCTATAAAAATAATCAGAATATTTTTATGTACAGGTGCTACGGGGAGGGTATTTTATGAAACTTCCCTGGCCACTGAAGTTTACAAAAACTTCTTTGTGTACTTCCAGATTAGAGGACAGACAATACTTTTGTGCATTTGAACAGAGGAAGGGAAAAAGTCAAGCTCAGAAGGTCAGGTTCATCTTGGTGGGCAGTGTCAAAGTTCTGGTACCTTTTGACTCAGAAGAGATATATCAAGCCCTCCTCCCAAGCCTTCCTCCCACATCTAATTTATTCAGAAAAGAAGATACTTATACACATTCTCTACAAGTTATTTTTAAAAAGTCAAAGGGGAAACAAAGAAAAGTCAAGAATCAAGAATGCACAGAGGACTGGAGGGGAGATGTCTGAATTTGCCTATTTTGGCTTTGGCATTAAAAATCCCTCCTCCTTCTCTCACTAGAAGGAGTTGCAAGTTGCTGTCTCAGTGTTTTGGCTTCTCTAAGTCTGTGGAGAAGGCATGCCTAGCACCCTTGTGCTGGCCTCCCGGCAGCGGGAGGAAGGTTATCATGCAGAAAAACCCGCTTGCTCCCACATCAGGCATGCCCGCTGTCCTGTGCACCTAACCCTGCCTTCCTTCCCCACGGAACAATTCAGCCTAATGTTTCTGCCCCAAAGTTCCCTTTGTCCTTAATAAAAAGCAAGTTGGAAGGGGGTAAAGGTTGGTAGAAGGTAAAGCATGTTTGCCTAACGAGTATGACAATTTGGAAATAAATATATGTCTATAACAATTTTTAACACCTTTAATGCTTTTTTTCACTTTACTTCCAGATGACATCTTTATACGTGTGCTAATTCATCATATATCTTTTTTTCTTGAAATGTTTCAAATAGAAACTAAAACCGATGTTTATTTACAAAGATAACTTCTGAAGGAAAAGCTAAGTCCCAAACACCAGGGATTCCAATTTTTCTGCCTGCAAACTCTAGTCCCAGTCATTTCCTAGTTTCTTGGATTTGGTTCAATGTACCGTATTTTGGACCCATAAATAAATAAATAAATAAACAAACAAATAATAAGGTGGTCTCTTGTTGCCCTATTACATGTAAATGAATAGAATAGAAGTGGAAACAGCCAGCCCTACAGGTTAATATTATTTTCTCTGCATCCAGCAGATGACATCAAAAACTCCTCAGTCACCTGCCACAAGATATTTTGGTTTAGCTACTGCTTTTCCATGTCCCCAGTGTCACCACTGTGTGGCACTACTGAGGCAATCTAATGCACCCCTAAAGCAATTTTTTAAATGTTAATTTGAGTTCTCATACTAGACACTGACTGTTAATGTAATAGTATAGCGCTGGTTTTAATTCGTTTTTTGGCCAACTTTTGGTGGGAGGTGAAAATTGTACCTTCTAATCAAACTGTTCTTTTTCTTCCTCCTTCAGAAGTCAATTATCTTAGTTAACTTTACTTTCCTCCCTTTTCTTCACTACCCTCTCTCTCCTGTTCTAGTGGATATATGGTCTGTGGGATGCATTATGGGAGAAATGGTTCGCCACAAAATCCTCTTTCCAGGAAGGGACTGTATCCTTGTGCCTTTTGCTACAGCTTTACCTGTTTTGTTCTCTCTCCCTTTAAACACATAATGATTTTACCAGGAGAGTAAAGATAGAAGCAAAGAGTTGGGTAAGTGGTGTCATTATAATAAAAAAGTGATGATTTCTATAATCTGACCAGTACTGAAAATTACCTACCACAATGATTTCTTTTAATTAAATTTTCAATGGGCTTTTTTCTTCTTAAATTATTTTCTTGCCTGTAACTCAAAATAGCAATGCCGTCTTTTTCCTAAATAGCAGAGGCCACTAGACCCCAAATGAGTAAAATATATTTATTTTTATAACTAGGAAAAGAAGTCTCTATTTGCAAGTCATTTTCCATCTCCATTCTAAAACTATTTTATGCTTCTGCAACATTGAGACACTCTCCTTGCTGACATCCTAAGCTTCTATCTATGGCTTCATTGATTTAAATTACACTTGACACTATATCGAATCTTTAATAGGTCATATAGCATATCCTCCTCAAATAATTGTAATTATTCAAATTGCCAGAGGTCAGGTGAGTTTAGGGTTGTCTCACTTGATTTGGAGATGTGACATAAACATAGATACTTGTTTTTCCAACTGAATTTAGAATTTTATAAAGCAGTGTTGATTTGAGTTCTACCACTGAGTCCTGTCATAGATTCCATCGCAATTTCTTGGAGAGCCATCCATGATTTAGAATTAATAAATGAGCCGGTATGTTTCTTAAATGGCCAAAAGTTCACTCTCTAATAAAGGCACACATTTGGGTTTGTAACATATAGACAATAAAGTTTACATATTAATACGAGAATGTACTTTCATAAATACAAAGGTACCTTGCTAACAAACACTAGTGCAAATCTAATTACAAGAATATTTGACAACTTTAGCAATAATAATTCAGGATTGAATTTAGAATATTTATTACATATGAATTTTTTGGAAATTGGCAATGAACATATGGTCCACAATGCTTATTAACCTTTCCATTTGATTGATAAGAAAGCTCTATTAAGGAAGCCTTTTATTATGTAGGAAAGATTATGGTTTTTTATTTAAGTAGAAAAAATGGCCAATAGTACAAAAAATTGACTCAATAAGAATTTGACACTATAATGAACATGCATTTAGGCATTTATTCATTCTGCTGGATATTAATGAGATATTCTCTAAATTCTACTAGTAACATAAGAGTAATGACATGTTCCAGAACTGCACTGCCCACTAAGGTATATTACTAGCTGCATGTGGCATTTCAGCACTTTAAATTACAGCTAGTTTGAGTTGAGATGTATTATATGTGTAATATGCACACAAGATTTCTAAGATATTTAAAAAATATATATAAAATATATCATTAATAATTTTAATTGATTATGTGTTAAAATGATAATATTTTGAATGTATTGGGTTAAATACAAGTACATATGTTGTTACAATTAAGATTACCCGTTTCTTACTCTTTTTAATGTGGATATTAAACTTAAAATTACAGATATGATTCGTATTTACGACTATCATTTTTCTTTTGGACAGTGCTGGTCTAGAACATGAGATAACCAAATGGCAGCCTTTTATTTACAACCAGTCTTACAGTCTTGAATCACTGTGAGTTCCATGTTCCTTTGTTATCTATAGTGTAAAGTTCCATTTTCACCATCAAATATGACTACTTAGGAAAATTCATTTTACTTTACATTACTTGTTTATAGTTTGGAGATCAATTATATACCTACTGTAGTTGATTTGAACAATATTATTATCTACATTCATCCTAAAATGTACTGATTTTATTCAAAAGTAGAAATTATTTTCTTTATGCTTTTGCCTTTGGGTATAATACATTTTAGACAATAAAAGAAACCTCTCAGTCAATACTCAGTGTGAAGTTGCACAGCCACGTTTCTATAATGCACTCGTTAGTGAAAAATAAAGTCACAGGATCTTTCACTTCCATGTGACATTTTTGTTACATGTCACTTGATTTCCACATAGCAAGCTGGTTCTCTGAGATCTAATTTAGCTCTTCGAGCATTTATCAGGGTTACTTTCTGTCTATTTTGACAGCATCAAATTTAAAAGCCAAAAAAGTAGGAAAAACCAAAGCATTTTTAATCTAAGTTAACCCTTCAATAAACAAACAAAGATAATAGCACCCTATTGATAATTCTGTATTCTTCTGAAAATTGTTCTCTTGGAGGTCCCTTTAAAATATTTGCAACTGGAATTGTGTAAAAATCAATACATAAAATTTATATCTTTTATATGTTTGATCCTAGGAATTTAAATAATCTCTTAATAATCTCTAATTTAAATAATTTAAATAATCTCTAGTACAAAAACGTAGATTGTAATAAGGATTTGTGTTCTGTATTCCTTTATATCAGGTAACAATTACATAGTACATTGGCCTTTGACAGCCTGGTGCTGGATGTGATAATGACTCTGCATGTGGCCCTAAAAGTAAAATGGGAAGTTGCATAAAGATATTTACGGTGAAAAATTTCTTGCTTAAGTTAAATTTTACTTAAATATGGGTAAATAATTTCCAGTGAAATGATTTAGAAGAAATGCTATCTCTTTAAAAACGTTTCCATTTTGATTTAAGTTCTTAGGTCATTTTACCTATAATTAAAATTAGAATTTAATGTTTTGAGTTATGGCTACATTTAAAAAATTAAGTGCAGAAATCCCTATTAAACAGTGGACTCTATGTGCTTTGTGAACTTTGAGTGGAATTGTTTTATTAATCTTTAATTGAAATTATTATCACTTTACGAGTAAGACTTCCTACCAATAATTGGGAGATCAATTGAGCTAACTTCACTAACCATGATGATCAGTTGCAAGGCTGAGGGCTGATGGAGTTTATTTATGGGGAGAAGATTTTTACCAATATTTTAGCCTATTGAAATGATTCTAACATTTATTGAAAGTGATATCAGAGTTTAATATATGCTAATTGATACCATGACGACTTTCATGATTCTGCAGAGATTAAAAACAATCAGAGATTTTCTTGACTTTCTCTTAGAATTACTCATAGTAATTTATGTTAAATTACTTTGAGGCTGAAAAATGATGTGATAATACTTTATCATCATAACCAACATTATTCCTCTCTATTCAAAAAAACTTTTTAATCTGAATCCCAAGCAAAATTAGTAAAACGCCTTGACAAATCAGGAAATCTTATGGAATTGTCATTGATGACTAAAGTTTTAACTACTTTCCTACATTCAGACTGTCTTTGCATTTTGAGAAACATTATGGGGGATATTTGGTGATTGATATGATCCAGATGATATCAGAGGTCACTTTCTTGATTACTAAATTAGAATGTTGACAAAATAAATAAAATTTTAAAAATTGAAACAATACTTATTTGCTTTTCCATGCATTAGTTTGCTAATTACTTTAATATCCAAAGGACTATTTCTAAGATTCTTATTGTGTAAAGAGTGTCTTAATTATACCTATATTATCATACACTCAATATCGCTAGTTTTATGATTAAAACACATTTCATAGCATATATGTTGACATAATATGGTATGTTGTATTATTAAAAATTCTTAGACCCATGCTGACTTTCAAGTTAGAGAGTAGTAAATATGCCAAGTCTATTATTTTCTTTACGTAGTCCAAAGAAGAGATAAATCAATGAGTTTCCCTTTCACTCATATTTTGTTCCTTCCATTAAAATTTACAGTAAAGCAGTTTTTACAATACTTTCTTAGAAATTTTTTCTGAGAACTTTCCAGTCATTCACACCCTCCATCCACCTCAAACTTCAACCAGGGCATGCCACCTTCTTGATTACCAAAGGCTCCTGTAATACCAGCATACTTTTCACAAGCTCTTTTCTTAGCCCTGAATTCTTCAACCTTTGTTTTTTCCATTCTACCTCAAATGGCAGGACCTTCTTTGAGCAAACCCTGTAATGTCCTTTTATCTAGAGTTCTTGGCCAGAGTTCTCTGGACATGAGTGATGTTAAAGATAGGCACACCATGCTCATTTGAAAATTCCAGACCTCAAGTATAGTATCTCTAATTAAAGCTGACAGTTGGACTGCTAAAACATCCCCTCTTGCCTTTCCCTCTGAAGAACAAGAGATTTCGATTAGAATGAAAAACATATACCTATAACCTTGCCAGGGAGCTAAGGGCATGAAGTAACATGTGAATGGTTTTCCAAAAATATATTTGAAGAAATAAAGAAAACAACTGAGTGCCTTCTCTTTTTAAATCTTAAATATGAAAATTAGGAAGGATAAAAGTAAAATGAACAAAAATTGGTGGGTACAGATTGTTATATCCATCTATTACAGAGACATTTCTTAATCTTTCTTACTTCTTTGAAATAACCTTGCTTACTTCCTAATAAACTTTTGCAACTAATACCTTACTATATAGTCAAAGTTTTTTCCTCAGTATTGAGGCAATACACGGTTATCTCAAATGATATAAAATTTATGGCTTTAAATAAAGTTTGGGATGTAAAAATTCAGTAGGTATTTTTTCACATCTATAAGCAAATTGCAGATAATCACAAACATATTTTTAGAAATAAAATATTACTTTTTTGAATTTGTTTAAAAGAATATATTTTTACCATTGTTTGCCTACTACTCTTCTCTTTATTATCATTTTATGAAAATATGAATAAGACATGATTAGAATGAGAGCTGGAGATTCTGAGATTGTAAAGAAGTAAAAACAAATTTAATAGGTAGACTCAAGAAGAAAATTTTTCTCTCATTTCCTGTCATTAGAATATTTAGCATTGTGTTCCATGAATTGTTGCTTATTTTTCTACTTAGATATATGTGTGCAAAATATGTACATTCTTAGTTTATTTGTGCATATAGGTAGTCTTGTATAATTCCATCTTTGAACTAAAGTTTAAAATAAATTTATTATTTTTGAAACATAAAAATTTCAAAGAAATGTTCTGATTTTAGAAAACTATATTAAATCTTCTTGCTATTGTAC